TGAATGGCTAAAGCAACGTCTGGGTGTGTGTCTTAGGGGTGTGTGTGTGTGTGTGCGTGTGTGTGTGTGTGTGTGTGTGTGCATGCGCGCGCATGTAAGGAGTGTCCAGAGTTGAGGTAAAATGTAGCTGAGGATGATCTTGAGTTTTCCAAGTGATATAATCCAACTTTTGCTTAGAAAGTTAACTCTAATAGAAATAAAGACAGTGCATCAGCAAGAGGAGAGGTTGGGAGCAGGAACTAAGAGAGATATTCCAGGTATAAATTAGACGAGGACTGAAGAGGACAGAGGGGGAAGTTTTGAGTTGGGCAAACAGGGAGTCATCGACAAGGTTTTCCAGATAAACGTCAGGGAGTTCTGACAATAGTCCAGAGGATTAAGGAAGTAAGAATGAGCAGTCTGTGAGAATACTCTATTCGTTTAAGAAGTTTGATAATCAAAGAGGCAAAGGGATGGGGTTAGTAGGCTTGAAAATTAGGCTGAATGGAAGGAAGCTTTTCCTTTTAGGAGAGACTTGTAATATTTAAAGACAGAGGGAAAGAGATGAGAGGAATTTAGGATGCAAGAGCAAGTAGCTAATTGATGAATAAGGTTCCAGAAGTAGAATAAAACCAATAGCACAGGTGTCAGGCATGGTCTTGGAAGAGATTAGGATCCGATTTTTCTCTAACATACAAAGGAATATGAATTAAGACGCTAGTAAGAGTACTCATACTGACCTCTCCTATTTTCTTTTCTTTTATGAAAATTGATGTGATGAAATGATGAACTTTGAATGTATAATAAGGCAATTGGGCTACAAAGTCACACAGATGTGGATAAGAAGGATAAATATGTTTTAGAAGTGAGGGAAAGGAACCATGTGGATCATGGCTTGTGTTCCTTTTGTACTGTCAGCAAGAAGCATCAAGTCATGTGTTAAAGCCAGTTTTGATTATACATGCTCCAGGAGGTAGCATATTTCCATGTTCTACCTCTCCATGGTCCTGAATTCCTTTTATATTTATTAAAGTCATGAGACTTATCTCCCTTATTATAAGGACACCTCAAATCCCTTCTATAAAGTAGTGGATAAAACATGAATAAGTACTGAGAATGTCTCAAAAACAGTCTACACATAGGAGAGATAGGGCCATATTACTGATTACTTAAAAATGATAAAAAAATTGCAAGAGATACGCCTGTGCCTTTGTGTTCAATCTGGACATCTTGAAGTTAAGAAAAGGACTTTAGACCATGACAGGCACCTGCCACACAGCAGTGGCAGGCTGAGAGAGCACAGAGAGTCTCACAGATTTGAAGGCTATTGTGTGTCATGGTTTGCTTCAGTAATTCAATAAGTCAAGATCAGAGTCTCTTAAGACTGTTAAACTCTCTGCCCGAATTTGTTCCTCTCTATGGTGAAATTACCCAGCATGCTAAAGATACAATCCTCTCTTGATACGGTCACGAATTGACTAAATCCAAAAGCCAACATAACCGACATGAAGTTTAGTGCTGTCCTTTCTAAGAGACTGAGCACCAGTAGAAATCTCTAGACATGGAAAGACACAAGAAAATTATTTTTCAGAGTCTCTGATTAAACACAATAAATTAGTTAAGCACTACCACTGAGATTTGTGCTCTAGAAGTAGAGTACAGAACTCCAATGAGAGCTTGCTGGAGACCTTAAGAAAGGAATAAATTGCATCTGAGAGAACCTTACACTTCAGCAAAGAAATAAAACAGACTGCAAGTATTTGTAGAGTTATGAGAAGCTATAAATGGGATTTTGTTTGCTCTGAAAATATAAGGGGAGGGCCTTTATTTTGCGAGGAGGCTCAAGATGGCAGTCCAACTAGCTGGAGAGAAAGTTTGACCATTAACTAGACAATAGTATTCTCCAGGTAGGAGCCCTCCAGGCAAGAGTCTGGCCTATTTAAAATAGAGGAAACACAACCTTTTGAATACAGTCATATCATATGATTTATTTTGCTTTCAAAGATACCTTCACTGACTTCTGCGGTCACTAAATGAGAATAAACACCCTTTCTTTACCTTTTCCTCCCCTTTATCAGTAACATCGAGGTGGTTCTTTGTAGTTCCCTTTAGTCAGGACTTTAATGCGCACCCTCCCGACCCCCCACTGTCAAACCCAAGTCTTCTATTCTCATAATAATGAAATGGGAAGACCCCTCTTTGTTAACTTTCTATAGGAGCTGAAGTTCCCATTGGGTCATAATTGGTAACCAGAGCTGAAGGCTTAGCAGTTAAATTCTCCACGAAAATATATGAATAAAAGTAGAAATGTTACGGGCTGATTTTTTCACTAAACTTCTGCCAGCTCTTGCGGTGTTTTATGAAGAGATGCCAGCATATTCAATAAATCTTGGCTGGCTGTTGTCCAGGAGAAATTATCACCAGCCCGTTGAAGGATCTCTGGCTGCTCCTTAGGAAAGGGAGGGGAGGAAGATTCATTCTGGTTCCTTCTGAGTTGTGCATTACACATTAAATTAAAATATATGTTTCACCCATTTAGCAGTCTGAATAATAAAAGCTGTATACAGCTGCAACAACTCTGCTCTATGCATTTTAATGACTGATTTGTGAATATACTAGAATTATAACTGCTATTCAAATATTTTCCTTTTTTAAGAAGTCACAAATCCCTCCCTTTAAAAATACGCAGACAAACACTTTATAATCTTTTAATAATTTGTACTAAAGAGTTTTAAAGCTTAGAATATGTGGAAATTATTTGTTTTAGGACGAGTAAATATAATGGGCTTGTCAATATGGTATTCAAATAACTGTAAAAATATTTGGAGTGTCTCCAACGAAAAGAACCTAACTCGATCTCTGCATTCAAATGAATTCTAAATAGAAAAAGTGATATACAGTTCAAAAGGAAGCATTAGACTCTAAAGCACCTTTCCATTTCTCTAAGGAATTGTGATCTACTGCTCAAATAGACTTTTAAATGGCTGTTGAGTTTTCAGGCTTCTCAGATATTCATACTTAAATCAGTTTGAACTAGTTAAGTAGAGTCACAATTAGAATTGTAATTTCTTTTCTTTCCATTTTTAACCAGTTGTGAAGAAAGCTAATAAAATTGGAAAATGAACATATGCGACCTTTAATATGAAAACTAGGTCTTAGAAGGGTGAGACAGTGCTTTATCAGCCTCCAGAGGGTATTTTTCTAAGCCACAATGCCAGTTTTAACATAGGATCTACGCACTTTTTTGTATGATGAACCGTAAACCAGAAGCTTTCTCTAATGGGTTGTAAAAATCAGGAGATTTAGATTCAACTTATGAGAAAAAAAAAATGGCATGTTACGACAAAGGTAATAATATATCAATAATATCCTCAATTTCTCATAGAAACTTAGAAAAATATCTATTAGCTAAGCAGCCAAAAGTTTATTTTAGGATACGTATGATCGATGTAAGGAAGTTCTCAGTAATTTACCATTAATTCAGATGTCCATTCTTAAGTTGGAAACATGTCAGTAAAATATGAAGTTCTATGGCATCTTTAGCAGAGCAAACGAACTGAAGTAATCCCCTTTATTGTTTCCTTATTTCAGCCTCAAATAACCCTCAGTCTACTAATTGCCCCCAGGATCCCATTTTACAAAGCATGGTTTCCAAGAAACAATTTGAAGAATTTTAGAAGCTGAAAAATAATGCTTTATTCCTGAGTGTATTAGTGGTTTGTAACACTGATGATTCAAGCTTCTTCCTAAGCAATTTTTTTTGCATCTGTAAACTGATCTAAATGTCTGTTATGAGGATAAATTTAGAAAAGCTCATTTGGAATTGTTACTCTACAGCAGGGGCCAGTAAACTTTTTCTGTAAAGGAAAAAATCGTGGGTAATTTAGACTTTGGGGACCCTCCCTGTCACACTCAGTGAACCCTGCCATTTTAGTGCAAAGGGAATCATAGACAGTGTGCAAACATATGCATGTGGCTGGTGGACTTGGCCCTTGAGCTGTTCTAGAGCAGTGATTCTCATTTGGTGTTGGGTGTGATGGGGAGGGAACTTTGGAAAGTTCATTGGGGGATGAAATTCAAGAGAGCCTCTGCTGGAAATTTTTATCTTTTTCCTATCAAGAGTTAACAGGAAAGAACTTCCCTGGTGGTCCAGTGGTTGACTCCACCCTTCCAGCGCAGGGGGTACAGGTTCAACCCCTGGTCGGGGACCTAAGATCCCACATGCTGTGCTGCGTGGCCAAAAAAAATTTTTAAAAGAGTTAACAGGAAATATTTTTTGGTTTTGGCTAAAATAATAATTTGATTGGGTTTCTAGGTCATTAAAATTGCCCAAATAATAGAAATGAGGGTCAGAAATCACTTTTAATATTACTACATCATTAACATATATAATATAGAATAATGATATCCAATAGAAATATCATACGAGACATATATATGATTTCCAATTTTTGAGCAGCCATGTTAAAAAAGTAAAAAAAGAGAAAACCAAAACAGGTAAACTTAATTTTAATAATGTACTTTATCAAATATATATAAAAATATTATCATTATGCTATGTAATCAATATTAAACATTATTAATGGGGTATTTTACATTTTTTTTGTACAAAGCCTTTGAAATCTGGTGTGTATTTTATGCTTACAGCATATTTCAACTTGGATTAGTCACATTTCCAGTGTTCAGTGGCCATATGTGGCTAGTGAGTACCATACTGGAGAGAACAGGAAAAGATCATATAATACGCTACTTTTACTCACTGGATTATATTTTGAGAATAAGTGATGTAAAACATAGGCCAGATTAATGTTCTCCTTCTCCTCCCCTGTAACACTGAGCCTGACAGCAGCCTAAAAGGTCTTCATAATGCAGCATTTGGAAAGCCACTGCTAATCAAGAGAGCTGGCATGAACCTCTCTACAATCTATATAGAGACCATAAGATGAATTCAACCATGTAATTGATCATTTGAAATCTCAGGACTCATTTCAAACAGTCATTTTCTTTCATTTGCCAACCAGGGGTCAACAATTCCAATGCCAGGAGAGACCAGAGAGATAGAAGTGAGAGAATCCAGCTGGGTGAAGACAGTGGAGAGTGATGGGACCATCTGTGGCAAGTGGCAGGTATGTACCCTTCCTGGAGTATCCACATTCCAAAAGCTAAACACTGTGTCAGCAGAGCAAACACACCTGCAAGACCACCACTGGATGTCCAGACCTGTTGGTTTACAGTCCCTGGCTACATACGTTAAGTCTAAAGATGTGGCACTATTCACTATTATTGTACCAGTACTTGTCTGATCTCTGACAGTTGTAGGGGGTGGGATCAGGTGATTTGACCCCAGCCTCACCTCTCCCTCTGCCCCTTCTATCTTACATAGGGTCTTCTGCTCATTTCGACCTGAGAGTCTGTCACAAATCTCCTTTGCTTGCAATTCCTCTACTCTTCTTTAGCAACCAGGAAAAAATGCCCCTCTCTGAAGCCTTCCCAATCTCTAATGTTCATAGTTGAACAGATCCACAAAGGCAAAATTCAAAAAGCTCTGGAAGCTAAAAGCTTTTAAAAACTCATCTGGTGATAAAAATCTTGCCTGATCTGAACTCATTTATCAGCAAAATCTGACTTTGCTGGACATGAGTCTCTTTATAGGTCTTTATTTAGCTAACAGTTGTGAAAATTCATATTACAGAAATATTAATATTTTGAATATAGGGGCTGTCCTATATTCACTGGAAGGATTGTGTAATATATGGTGTTCATACCATGCTATCATTCTAACATCAGAAAAGTTCTGAAACACATCTGGCTCCAAATATGCCTTTATTAGTGAACCTTTATTCCTAGTAGTGGAAGTAGGCATATTAGTAAATAGTTATTTAACACAAAATATGCTCCAGGTCCCTTATGTATTTTAACTCTTTTATTCTGCACAAGTCAATTAGGTAAGTATTATTGTTACCTTCGTTCATAGATATCAACAGTAAATTAATAGAGTTAGGTAACTTTCCTAAGGTCACACAGCTCCTAAGTGGCACCACTTGGCAATGCCGGTAATCAAACCCAGATGGTCTGGCTGAGAGTCTTTCCTGCTGTGCAAAAGCATCTGTCTAAGTGTTGGTTATGGGTTCCCCTCACTTGACATTTACTGTGTGAAGGTTCTGTCTCCTGAACTAGAATTCCTCCTCCTTAAAAGCAGAGCTTGTCTCCCTCCCCCATACTACCTACCTGGTAAGGGTATGAACCTAACAGCATTTATCGTGAAGAATGCTAGGTTAAAAAGAGCATTATGAATTTCAGTAATTTACTATGGATTCCGCAGGTCATGGTCCCACTTGTTCTGTCTTCCACAAAGCTGATTTAACTTTGCGTGGTGTGACAGTTACTAAGCTCTGCCTCGCTCAGTGAAAATAAGCACAGGCACAAGCATATATGCTATCACCTTAACCACAGTGGAGATAAATTCTGCTTCTGGTTCCTGCTTAGTTAATGCTTATTCTGATCTACGCAGTATGTAAGAGCTATTTGTGTCTTTCCTCGGTGTATCCTGTATCGTTTATGCGGCAGTACTATTACTGTTCCCATCTTACAGATGAGAAAACCAAGATTTGGAGATGTGTGATTATGATGCTGGGAAGTGGTGAAATTGTATTAAAACGTAGGTGGTTTGACCCAGGAGCCCGCAATCTTCCTCATCTTCCTTCTTTGCCTCTGGCTTTCTTCTGAGACTACTTTCTAGGATACAAGTCACTTTCTAACTTGAGTCTTCCTTTCTTCTCATATCTCTTGCCACTCCAGTTACGTTGGAGGGCTGGAGAGTTTCTTAATATTCTATTCTTTCACCATAGACAATACTCATGTATCCTCATAACAGTATTATGGGTTTGTGCTTTTGGTGTTTCCATGTAACAGATTTGGAAATTGAGGCTCACAGGCTTTAAGTAATTGACTCAAATCCACGTAATTTGTGGCTGAACTGGGATTAAAGTGTTAAGTTCACTGATCTAAAATCTCACACACCGACAGCTCACGTTTCCCTGCTTCTCGTTGAACTAGTTTCATACAGTTTCAGCACTCTAAGAACAAATTATGATTATTTTAAAAAAATATCAAAGTAACCCGTGGAACTTCTTCTAATTGAACTTCCTACCTACTGACACGATGAAGAAGCATGAACCTAACTGAATAGTCTTCTCAGATTCACTCGGGGCATATGTTTAGTCTTAGCATAAAATATTTCCTCTGTGCCTCTGTTCAGCCTATACATTTCATTTTCAAAGCTAGAGTCTTTTTCCAGTTAATCATATTTATTGGCAAAATACAGCCTAAGTCACTGAAACAAAAACTAAGTGAAATAAGAGAACAAAGGTTGAATAAAGAAGTTCTGGACAAAAAGCCTTTGACCACAAATGGATGCCAGGTTGGGAATTTTATTTTTCTTCAAAAATGATTAATCATAGCAGTCACTAGTAAACAGTAATACATATTTGTGTGTCACCTCTTTATGCATTAAAAAGATCAGAACTGGGCTTCCCTGGTGGCGCAGTGGTGGAGAGTCCGCCTGCCGATGCAGGGGACACGGGTTCGTGACCCGGTCCGGGAAGATCCCACATGGCCGCGGAGCGGCTGGGCCCGTGAGCCATGGCTGCTGAGGCTGTGCATCTGGAGCCTGTGCTCTGCAACGGGAGAGGCCACAACAGTGAGAGGCCCGCGTACCGTAAAAAAAAAAAAAAAAAAAAAATCAGAACCCAGGACCCACTCATTCTGTTTGACTGTTGGAATATTTTTTAAAAAAACACCAATGTAGTTTAAAAAAAAAAAAAAAGACTTTATGAGCACCCTGATTGATTGGAAGTTAAAAAGAAGAGCCGACTTCTTCCTTTCCTTGGGCTCTCCAGTCCTTTGGGGATATCTGTAGATCTTCAAATAAGTCCCTCCAAGGGAGAAAAACGCCACCACTAACAATATGTAATCTCAGTGCCTGGAAAGTCCCTGTCACCTCACTTTGGAAGTGTTTGGTGAGCTATGCAGATCACGAAGATTGGGTAATAAAAACCCACCACCATCCAACCAGGGAAATCTATTACTCACCTCTTCTATTAATAGAGTTAGAGCTTCGATTTCACAGTGCAAAAAGCTCAGAATTATTTTGCTTACTTGAATCTCAAAGCTTGAGTGCTCTCCGATTGTGAAATATAAATGCTGCTTGCTTTTAAACTAAATAATAGTTCTATTTATAATACTTGTCATAGCCTTTATACTCCTTTTTTGCTTATAAAATGCTGCAATACATATACCTACTCTAACATTTCTTGTAGGGTGAATTTAGCACACTGATTTCTGAGAAAATAGGGAAAAAAGAGCCACGCTCACCTGGAGGTGGGGCATGGAGGTGTTGGGCGACTGTTGTCCATTCCACCCACTTATAAATGAGAGGTGAAAATCCGTCCTGTTCATTTATAAATTCATATGGAGCCTTTCTTTGTGTTGAGCTGTTTGATTTGATAGTGGAAACGTGATGAGGGTTCTGTTATAAGACAATTCCATTTCTCAGGATGCCTCCTACCTTCTGTGTATGTATCATTTCGAAAAACGGTGAATAGCAGCTTAAGCAACTAATAGCCAATTCCAGTTCCCATTTTTATCTGTGGGAGACAGTTTCTCTGTTAAAATGGTAACAGTTAAATGCAAAACTAACCTAACAAGCCATTGGGTGGCACTGTTGCTCCACTGAGTTCTTGGTTAAAGAACATTTCTCTTATACTAAAAAAGGAAAAGAAATGAAACATGAGTATGCCTTAAAGAAAGTAGCATTGTTTAAATGGGACAATTGGATTTCCTCTGCTGCTTTGATTCTTTCTATCCACTAAACACCCTTTGACCCAGGAATGACAAGTAGGCTTAAACTCAGATGGCAATATCAACCGTTCGGTCAATGCCACCTGGAGGCTAGTGTTGAGAAGGATTCTGATGCCATATCCAAGCCAATGGGTTGTATGGAGAATGTTATGGATTGATTAACAGTATCTGCTGTGGGTGCAGAATATTGGAATGGTGACTAAACTTGTCATTCTTCCTGTTGAATTCTATATAATGAGTGCCTATGATAGAAATAAATTCTATACTACAATTGGGGCTAGGTAGAGAAAATATGAGTGGAGTTTTTTTTTTTTATGTGAGAGTAATGTTAGGTGATATGTTGAAAGTCAGACTATTATAGCATGTCGTGCATCTTGGATAATATGAGCATGACCTGAACTATATGTGTCCTCTTTTCTTGCCTCACCTAATCCACTCAGAGTTTTAAAGATTATGAGAAAGTGGTGTCATTACCACAAGGAGGTTAATAGTTTTTGGCTGGTTAGTGCCAAAAAAGATGGTAGAGGCCAGAAAAAGATGTCTTCATAATACAAGAAACCTCAAAGCCCCAGGAATATACTCATTTTAGAGTTTAGAATCCTATTTAATTTTAGATCTATTATGGTCTTAAGATTTACCATAAAAGAACTATGACTATCACATATGTGTGAGTCTATGAGTACATTAAACTTTCCCTGTCTCCTCTGAAGATCTTACAGTATTCCTTGACATGGGGTATTTACTGAATGCGCTCTGCAGTAGCGTTTTCTGTGATGTTGGAAATGATCTATGTTTATGTTGTCCACCACACCAGCCGCATGTGGCTACGGAGCACTTAAAATGTGGCTCCTGTGACTGAGGACTTGGATTCTAAATTTTTGTGTAATTGCAATTAACTTGAATGTGAATATAAATAGTCCAATGTGGCTACGAGCTATTGTACGGGACAGTGAGTTGTAGTTACTGCAGAAATGATTAACACTTGGGTTTGAAGAATTCACAGCCTATCAAACCAGATGGCCCTCATATAAGCAGAGTAATGCCCAGTAAGGATAGTTAAGGTTTATTAAGCATTCACTATGTGTATGGCACTATTTTAAACATTTTATATATTTGGTCTTCCCAACAACATATGAAGAAAATCTTTTATCCCCATTTTACAGATGAAGAAAATTATAGCAAAGGGATAAGCCCTGAAATATTAGATAGGTCCCCAAATGGGATATGTTGGTCCTCTGTACCCAATAATAGTTTGGTTTCTTTTCCA